TCAGTGCACCTGATAAGCCAAAACAGGAATTTTTATTTTTTAACCTGTTTTTTGGTACTTAACAGTGAATGATTATTAAAAATGAGAAGTACTTGATTGGATAGAATATTATAAATAACTGGAATCACTTTTTTTTTTTTTTTATAGTAGAAAAGTTTAAAAAGAGAGGTGAGACTATCCATTACAGAGCCTTCACAAGTCTCAATGAGGGTTTCAGTGGCAATAAAAAAATAATTATTGTAAATTTATTTATTAAAAAAATTTAGAGCTATATGAGTAGTTACGTAAATGGGTGTTATTTTGTAAAACTTGCACTCTGAACATGAACCTCATTGACATCCCTAATTGCTTGTACAGTTTAATAATAACTAAGTTGTATAGTCTTAAGTAGTATTTCGATGTAACCATCATTTTTCTACACTTATCTTGCCCTTGAAATAGCAAATTCAGATGGAGGATGGAAGTAATATCATGCCAAAACGACCAAAACAATCATTTGAACAAAGAGGAAAAATACTTTATAGTTTTTTGTTTTACATGCACAAAGATACTTCCCTATGCTAGTCATGCTTAGACAGTCTCAAGGTAAGACAAATTTTGTCAAAATTTACAGCAATACAACATTGTTTTATCTGTTTTATACACGTTTCCTTGTCCCAATTGTTAAATTTGTAACTTTCCGCTGTCCTTGATAATAAACTTGTGGAGGTAGGGCCAAGAGATTGCTATGTCATTGATGCCCACGAGGAATGAAATGAGAAGCCTGTACCCTCAGTAGTTGCCAGAATGAACCATGATAAGGAAAATGAGCTAGTACCTCTAGAAGCAGACGTGGAGAGAAAAATATAATCTATATTTAGTATCACAATGCTCCAAAAAATCCTCTAATGTGTCAGGATGATTCTATTTAGCACAATAATGCATTGAAAAACTTGATTCTTCACACTATCACAAGCATAATATAGTGGATCTATGTTCAAAAGTAAAAATAAATTTAAAAAAAGGACAACTCATTTACATGTCATGCTGATGGTAGCATTCTACGATTAGCCAAGACGGTAAACACCTTCAATTAAAATTTAAACTGCTGCTCCATTTGATTAGCATAGGCAAGAGAGCATAGTGATGAGTCAGAAATGATATTCAAGCTGGCGCAAATTGCCAAAGGGCTCTTATTCATGCCTAGACCATAAGATGCTTTGTTGAGTCAAGATAATTAATTTCCAAAGAAGTCTGTTATATTGTACAATTATAGAAAAACATAAACTGCAAAAACTACTACCAAAGAGACTACTTCTATGGAAAAAATAATATTATACAAATAATTGTAGTTATGCCAAGTGATCTATCATTTCCTATTAAGGAAAAAAATCAACCGATCTTACACAACATTTCAGAATTGGATTGGTGATAGAAGCCACATGTAGTTTAGATAGTCCCTAAGTTATAATTATTACAAGCCACATTACAGTAATTGTGAAGGCAGGTTATAAATCTCTTCAGCTCCAAATATTACATCCCATCTGTGGCTTAGCACATTTTCTTCCCTCATATTTTGCCATGATTTCATATGTTTTGATTTCTCATAGATGCACTTATAGAAGATCTTACATCCAATTCAGCACTAGTTTTTGTAAATTCATTGACATGGCTATAGAGTTTTCAGCTGCAACAAAGCACTCGTATTTAGATGCATTCTGACACATGTTATTGGATCTAACAATAAATTATTGTAAAATTAATTATACATATATAGCTAAGTGGGTGTAGAGACTAATACACATGATGATTGTTGAATGAATTGGAAGTGGGCTCTGTTCCATATAATTTATTATGTTGGTGAAGTAGAGTTTACGTTGATCTCTTCACCATTTGATTGGTTGATATCTTGTCTCAATCAAATACTACTTTAAACTAGGAACAAGGAGAAGGCGATAGAACCAAACGGAGAAGAAAATAGTGACAGCAAACTACAGATTAACGGTCAATTGCAGATTTGTCTACATATTTCAATTAAACTATCTGTCCATTCCCATTCAATATCAAGTACACACGAACAAGGCGCAGAGATTCCAAATAACTATTTTATAGATTCATATATCAGAATGAAAATACTCGAAAAAACACTATCCTTACATAAGAATAAGCTCTAAATACCAAATCTATCATTTCAACCTAACTCTTAACAAAAAACAAACATACCTCAGACCCACGTATAGAACTAGTTGTTCTACCCTCGTATGCTCAAACCCTAATTGCCCACAGAGGCTTGCATTCGTTGTGGGTCAAATGGAGAAGCCAATCAGTGAGCCGCGATCGATAAGGAAGGAGAAACAGGCTTCGTCAATGATGAAAGAGAAACGGAGCATAATAATGGCAGGCCTCCCCCGACAAGGTGGTTACACAATCGGCCGTCGAAGATCCCAAGCCATTTGGCCAAACTGATGTTGCTATACAAGCAGGAATAACAGGGTTTTGCACTTATGCTTCTTTGTGGAGGGGAAGATTGTAAGTTTGTACTTAAGTCCTTAAGCGATCGGTTTATTTTATATTACATTAAATTGGAGGACTAGCGTAATAAATTTTACTAATATTCTTCTCATCCACATGTTCAATTCCTATTTGGCCACATGTATTGGGTTTTGAAACCCAAAAAACCTCCGGGCACTGGAGTGTTATTCTTCTAAATTTTGGCGAGTTTTAAATTCTTGAAATTTTAAAATATTGAATAACATTTTATGAATTTGAAAAGTTTAAACTTAATTTTTTTAATATTTCAAATTGCAATTTTAAAAATTTTTATTTTTTTAATTTTTTATTAAAATTTAAAATTTTAAATAGATTTAGATGCATCATAAAAGTTGCTAACAAAAAAATTATAGATCAATGTAACAGGAATATTACCTTCATTATTGACTATTCCAAATGTTCCAAATCTGGTATTAGACATGAAAAAAAGAATTAACTGAAATATAAATGTTGACTTTGCTCACTTCAACAAATCAAATTTTTAAAAAGAAAATAATGATTTTGCGACATGAACATACAATTTAATTTGACCTATTGTGTATAACAAGCTGACAAGTCTAGCAAATATTTTTCATGTTTTTGAAAAGAAAAAAAATGTATTTTTCATTTCACTTTTATTATTTATTTATCAAAAATATATAAATTAACACAAATAAACTACTCCCGTAAACCTTTATCATATCTTAAATCGTATAACTACTTATAAATAATCTTTTTTTATTAAAAATATGAGAATCCCGCAAATCAATCTCAAAGATGTTCTAATTTTAACAATATTATAAATATGAGAATTCCGTTAACCTTTATGGGTTTTTTAATTATTGAGAAGTAAATAAATAAAAGTTGCATAATTATTTGTTGGTATTATTCATTTTTACACACTAAAAATACGATATAATTCTTTAAAAAATGACAACATGTGTGTATTGAAATTGGTAAAATTTTTCTATTATTTATTAGTTCATAGAATTATCATTTTTATAGTTTAAATGATTGTCATATATAAATAATGTAATGTATATTTTTTAGACTATACAATATATATATATATAATATTTTTAATTTATAATTGGTATCTTATACAAAACACACGTCCATTGTACCTAAAACATGGTGAAAACATGGGCTCAATACTAGTTACAGCATCATTGGATGGGTTAGATTTTAAAATTTCAAAAGATACATTATTCACATGAGAATGTTAAAATGAAATGTGGCTTCGGCCAACTACTCTCGGATTAAAGCTGTGTTTGGTACACAATTTTTACTATGAGGAAGTAACCTCTATTTGGTATTATAGTTACATTAGAAAGGAAATGATTTGGAAAGATAAAATCTCAGTTGGCCCTACCATTTTTTCGTTTGTTCACCAAGTGACGGATTGCAAAGAAAAGGGAGCAATCTCTCGCTTCCCTACTTGCATCGACAGCCACTGCTCCTGCACCAGCGCCTGTGCCACCCACCAACGCCCCCTAGTTTTGCTTTTGCATTGTCATCTGTGAAGGATCGTTGAGAAAGAAAGAGGCACCTGCTGTGTGTGTTGCAGCTAATCCTGTTAAAAGTTAGGGCCAACTAGGCCTTATTTTCTTTCTTCATCATTATTGAAATTTTGTATTTTTCTTCAATTCTAAATTGATAGCCAAAAATTTATAAAAAAAAGAGCCAAGCAAATAAAATTTATAAAATTAAGACAAGTAATAAGAAAATTAATAATTAATAATAGAAATAATAATTATAAAAATACAATCAAAAATTAATATAATTGTCATCCAATTTAATAGAAACAGTTACACATGTTATTTTTTCTATTTATGTAATTGTTTATTATCAAAAAATTTCAATATTAAAATTTAATTTTAATTCTATTCAATTAAGTTTTTATGACATTTATTTGTATATATTTCTATTCTTTTCCTTTAATAAAATAAAAAAGGAGAAAATTCTTTCTTTTCTATTGAATAATACCAAATTTAAAAAAAAACCACCCATTTCTATTTCTTTCTTTTCTTTTCTTTTCTCCCCTTTCTTTTGTTTCTTTTCCTATATGTAATACGAAAAATAGCCTAAATGATCCTGCTCCCTTCCTGGAACTAGTGGAAACGTACCTGGAATTAACCAAAAATGATTTTCAAATTTAAACCGGGAAAGCCCGTAGCCTCATCCAGATGTGACTTCTGTTATTGTAGATTCCGAAGAATCGCAACGATTCAGATAGCTCACACACACACACACACACACACACACACACACGCACGCACGCACACGCACACTCTCTCTCTCTCTCTCTCTCTCTCTCTCTCTGTATTTTTCTCTGTTTTTTTTCCTTCTCTTTTCCTTTTTTAAATTACGTTTTGGGAAATTCCGTTGCCAGCATTGCGTTTTGTGCTCCACGAATCCAGTTCTTCAAATTTGTCACCCTTGCTTCTCATCTATATGTACCCATATTTGCATTTTCCTCTCGGTTACACAGATCTGACTTCGGAAGATGGCTTGTCAAATCAAATGAATCAGCTGCTCCGTTGCTGACGCTACTTCCGCCCTCCTTCAGTGCACCACCACTGAATAGTGATCTTGACTTTCTTTTAGTTTATTTATTTTTTTCTTTTTTTTTTTTTTATAAAGTTCATTTTTAGCGGGAGTTCTGTATTTTCTGGATTCCTCCTTCCCATATCAAAAATGTCAATATTGGGTAGCATGAGCAACAATGGTAGCAGCAGGGGTTCACCGTTTTTCCACGAGTTCAAGAAGCAGGCTTCCTTCTTTTTCAAAGAGAAGATCAAGACTGCCCGCTTGGTTCTCACCGACGTTACGCCTGCTCAATTGTAAGTCTCTTTATACATACGCATACAGACTTTTATGTGTGCCTGTACATGATCTGAGATCTAATCTCAATTCGATTGGTGTCAAGATTGGCCGAAGAAGCCACAAATGGAAACCCTTGGGCACCCGACGCCCGGACTTTAAAGATCATATCCAAGGCTGCTTTTGAAATTGATGATTACTGGAGAATCGTGGAGATTCTGCATAAGAGGTTTTTTGCGTTTCTTTCATACATCATTACCAGCGATTCTTTTGTTTTTGGCATAGGCAAATCTTTTGCACTCAGAACTGTTACATTGGGACAGATTGGCTAGATTTGTTAGGAAGAACTGGAGGCTATCATACAAGGCTCTGCTTGTGCTGGAGCACTTGTTGACCCATGGACCGGAGAGTGTCGCAGAGGAGTTTGAGGATGACAAATACGTAATTATTATGATGAAAACCTTTCAGCACGTTGATGAAAAAGGGTCTGTTTTCTTAAATATTTGAATAGGTCTTGTGGGTTTTTCCTTTCGACTCCCTTTTCGGTTTTAAATATCTGATACCGTTGATCGCAAAGTTTGAAAATTTCGTGCAGATTCAACTGGGGCCTTAATGTTCAAAAGAAGTGCGAGAGGGTACTAAAACTGCTCGAAAGGGGCCCTCTTCTCAAGGAAGAGAGGGATCGAGCCCGTAAGATCACGAGAGGAATTGAGGGATTCGGGAGCTTCTGCCAGAGGACTTCTGAGCGGGGAACAATTGGAGATGCGGGTCTGGAACAATATGGAAGGAGCAACTCTCAGTTCAATGATCACGGAGATCAGGAAGAGAAAGAGGAAGATGTCAGTGTCACCACCAAGAAAACAGAGAATTCAAACCTGCCTAAGGGCTCTGCTGAGTCAACCGGGGAATTGAAACCTTTTCGGGGTGGCCAGAAAAACAAGTCCAGGAGAGTCGGAATGGCGGAAGAAGAAAGTCACCCCTTCAATGAACCTGAATTTCAAGCTACCGAGTCCCTACTACCTTCTGCGGATAAACTCTTGCAAGCCCGTTAAGGCCTGAAACCTCCTAAAGTAGACGTCTTGCCTGCCAATTTCTTGTTTACCAGATCTAGATTCTAGAAGTAACGAGTCATAGCAGTTTGACGGTTTTCTTGCCTCTATTATTATCAATGTTGCTTCTGTTCATAGGACTTTTTGGAAAGCAAAGACCATCATTCACATGTTAACAGATTCAGCTGCGTTAAAATTATATATTTCTTTTTTCTTTTTCCCAAGTCAATTTAATCATCATCAAGAACGGTTATTTGTTTTCAATCAACGGTTGTGTGCTAGCGACTCTTAGTTTTTTGCATTAAAATATAATATATTTGACTTCCTGCAACAAATACGATATTGAAGAACTTTTTTTTTTTCAATTGTAATTTAATTTATTGCATGAGGTACTTCGTGATACAACTCTACAAATATATCAACAAATGTATACATGTAACTATGAATCAAATTTCAAGCTTTGCAGAGCCAATCTTGAATAGCAAGTCTTAGTGCGTGGTTTGGAGTTAGATGCAGGTGTTCCAATTTCAAATTGGTCATTGGAGAAGTTTCGTGACCATTCCCAAACCATTCCCGCAAGGCTTCTCCTTCGTACGTGAATCCATCGGCTGCCAACTGAGGGTCATGCATTATCTCCTGAAACCAATCCGCAGAAAGTCACCAGAATGAATCATATTGTTAGGAAAACAAAATTATGCTTGCAGTAAGAATGGCTGGAATCCCATATATGACATCTTTACAGAATAGGCTTTTCATGTCAACCTAGTTGGTAAGCCTAAGCAAATTGAATCTTAAGGAAAGCTGCAGCAGAGATGGAGCTTAAGACTTGCTAAAGCTCTGTTGATAGTTCAATTGAGTAAGACCAGGTCCACGCTTATTTGCGAGCTTCACCATAATCTGAGTTTGTTCATGAGCCCGGTACCACCAACTAAAATTGAAACTACCTACCCTGTTCTTTAGTAAGAATTAGCAAGTACTATGATCTAGGGGAACTACTGTGATTACATAGCACCTATTACAATCTATCAGCCTCAGCTATTTAATTCGATATTACTTGAATGGTATAGATCAAGTAAACACTTCAGGAAGCAACAGGATTGGATCTTTTCAGGTGGAACAAGCTATGGCAAAACCATTTAAAAAGCAAACTCAAGGTCTCGGCACATAGTAAAAGAACAATCTCCTTTCATAAGCAAAACATTATTTGACTCCCTAAGAGATGAACTACTCACCTGGCGGATAGGGCACAAGAAGAAAGACGGCACAGTTCGTTCTTCTGGAGAATGCAACTGCTCCAGTTCCCAAATTATACTTGGTGTTAGATTAGGCCTATCCCTAGCGTTCAGTTCACAGCATTGCAAACCAGGTCCACCAGTTGCTTCAGCACAAAGTTAGGCCATTCTCCTGCAGATGAATCCAAGAGGGAATCTAATTTCCCACATGATACTGCTTTCCGAACCTCAGCTGCCAGTGTCTCTGGAGCCCTCCCGGTGAGAAGGTGAAGAATTATCATACCAAAAGAGTAACTGTCAGATTTACTAGTCAAGGCCCCAGTTCTGTTCAATTCTGGATCTGTATATGAGAAAGCACCTTTGGTTCAGTGCACTGCCGGAAACTTGGGCAACGGAGGCCCTCTTTTGTCATTAGTCTGCTAATCCCAAAGTCACATATCTTGCAGCTGAGATCAGAATCAAGCAGGATGTTTTCGGGCTTGAGGTTGCCATGTACTATCTTTTCAGGTTTAAATGAGTGGAGGAACAAGAGGGCACTAGCAATTTCAGCAACAATTCTTACACGGATCTTCCAGTTGAGGGAAAAGTTGCTTCTTTGGGAAAGGCAATCCAGGAGACTTCCATTAGGTAAGTACTCATAAACAAGGGACCAGGCTTCTGGACATACGCCAATCAGTGTAACGAGGTGAGGATGCCGCAGTTTGCCAAGGATCTGAATCTGTGTATGCGAAAACAAATATTAACTTAAAATCTGGCAAGTCTAGCATTCTTTGATATTTATAATCTATATGCAGCATAATTTCCCAGTAAAATCAGCATATATTGGGTCCAATAGACTTATCTGAGAGCTAGTTTTGAAACAATTACATCTCTACACATTCTCTAGCTCAGTTTCTCAGTTGACCTGAAACTATGATTTCAATATCCACAAAGATCTATACAATGAATTTAGCTGGAGCTGTGAATTTTCAGATGGAGAAAAACATATATTGTATTCTTAATGGGCTTAATGACCATTTGCAGTTAACAGATGGTATAGGACAGGGTATAGTGAAGTACTTTTCGCTTTTCTACCAGCAGTTATTTTATAAAGGACTTGGAATCTGAAAGTAATTAGCACCTAACAAGGTTGAAATAAAAAATTGCGTGGGGGAGAAAGAGAGAGAGAGAGAGAGAGATGTCCACCTCTTGCTGAAATTCTGATTGCCCTTGTATGTTTTGCGGATGCAGTTTCTTGATGGCAACAGTTTGATTCAACATTTCCCCCTTATAAACAGAACCAGATCCACTTTGCCCAATCTTGAAGCTGTCAGAGAAATTGCAAGTTGCAGTTTGTAAATCTGATAATGAAAATTCTGTTACTTCAGGTAAATCTTCAGCAAACCCAATCAGCCCATTGTAATTTACACCTCCAGCTTGTCTCCGACTTCTCCAACTATCAAGCCAATGTGAAGCTTTCATTTTCTGCCTCCGGATTTTCTGCTTTTCATGCTGCAGAGCTGCTATAGAAGCTTTGAGGAGTCTCAATTCTCCAGAAGCCTCTTCTCGGCGATGGTTTGCTCCTACTGCCTGACTATCTAAGAGCGCTATATGTCTCATGGCTTTTCTAGCTCTCTAGTGATTTCTTCTCTTTCTTCTGTGAGTTTTTCTTGTTCTTGTATTATCACTCTCAGTGCATCTTCAGCTTCTTGTCTAAGTTTGATTTCGTATGCACAAGCAGATTCCAAGGCTTTAGCCTATACAAATCAAAAAATTTTCTTCTTACTATGGAATAGCACTATAAAATTAAAAATAAAAATATTCCTGTATTGCCCACGCAAAAAGTTATAGTTGAGGCTATGCAGGGCAACCGGAGAAGCTTGTCACATAACTGATACAATTAAAAACATAGTAGCATGATCTCCATCACTTAACTTCTACTTTTGGAGACCCTGTCCCCTGAGAGTGAAGAAAATAAAGTAGTTTTATGTCTTACTCTAGATTGGAAGGCAAATTATGAGTCTACAAATTTTTATTTTTTATTTTTTTTACTTATTTCTTTCTTTCTTTCTTTTCTTTCTCTTATATTGCACCCATTATTTTTAAATATGGACAGGATTTAGTAAAAAGGGGTAGTGGCTTTAGAATTGAGACTTAGTAAAGCACATAAAGAATGTGAGAGCTTGAATGCCCTATAAATGGATTAATAGCACTAGATACATTTTTACTTGGGTTGATTATTCTATCCAACATGGACTCCTTCCAGATTTAATTCTCAGTTTTCTAGTCTCTATCTTCATTGATCCATAATTTACTGCTCCTCTGGAATGATCAATCATGTTCAATGATGCAAGCACAGAAAAAGAAAAAACCAAAATTAATGATCAGGAACATATTGCAAAAATTAAAGTTTACCCTGCCAATAATTTCCGTAGCATTAGCTTCTAAACCTTTGCGCTTCAAAAACTCTTGAAGGGCTTCATTCCTTGATGCCTTGGTTTCTTTTCTTGTTTCTGCAAGTTGAGCAAGTAGGCTTTCTTCATCAACTTTCAATGAAGAAGCTGAGGACATTCTCTGATCAGCAAAACTGTACCCAGAGCTAGAGCTTGTGCTTGTTGAGCTTGATAAACAGTGGAAATAGTGTGGATCAGAGGGTGAGGTTGGCACTAGAGTTATCTCTGCTTGAGAAGCTTCAGCTTGAACCCATTCTCTAGTTGCAGCAAAGCCAGACTGAGAGTAGTCTGAATGGGATATGATCTGACCATAGTTATGTTGCAATGAACCAGATACTAAATTATCTGAAGTACAAGTCTCTGGTTGATTGCTGCTCTCCACAATATTTGGGCCTTGACAAGCTTCTCTTGTCCACACATGTTTCCCCTTGCTTACAAACCATATCTCACAAAAGTCAGAAGCATTTTTTGCAGCATAGCTTGCCTTCTTAGAGCTCTTTTTCAGCTTTGTACAACTGTTTATACCATAGAATTGCCGCACAGAAGAAAATATCAATTAAAATGTCAAATCAAAAAAAAAAAAAAGACAAATAAATAGGAAAAAAGATAGGTGAACAGTCAGCATCAACAGTGAAAAGTGTCCATAATACATCGCCACATAGTTTCCTCATAGATAGTGCCTGTCAGTCTCTAGCTAGAAAAAGGTGATTTTGTCCACTTGGATTCCGGATTATAAGGCTCTTTTTCTATAAAATTCAACCCAATATAGCCAAAAGTAGATGCACCTAAATTCTTACTTCTTGTAACCAATGGCATAACTATAAATAATTTGAATTCTTGTTAAACAAATATATCCCAAACATTTTAATTAAAATCCCAATTTACCCTTACCCAACTTACTTAATGAAAACCCTATCCAATTTTATTATTTTTTTATTCTATTAATGAGTCAACTTTTAAAAATATTTTTTAAAAAAATTATGTGATTAAAATCTATAGTTGAAATGTTAATGGTGAAAAATTTTAAAAAAAAATGTTGGGAATTTTTGGTCTAACTCGCATATTAGCAATTTATTTTTAGGAAATTGAGTGAAAAAATTAGTAGCATAATAAATTTAGTATTTGTATTTATATATTTTATTTCTAAATAAAAATATTAACTAATTACAAGCTAAACAAATAAAATCTTAAAAGGAATTTTGTTTCACTATAAAAGAATTACATCTCAACAAGAAGTGAATAGTGTCATTCTAAGCATTTAGTTCTCATCCTGATAAGTTAGTTTTTCTAAAAAATTTTAATTTTAAATATTGCTTATAAGAAATTAATTTTTATTATACAAACCCAACATCATAAGAATCAACTTTTTTTATTTTATTATTTTAAATTCTTAAAGAAACTTTAATGCCAATATAATTTGCTTTATGGCTACAAATATCACTTCTTAAATGAATGACCAATTTAGACATTTTAACATAATAAGCAATTATTACAATTACTTTACCAAACATCCATATATCAAGTTTTTTGATTATTCAGCATAATTTGCAAACATTCCCAATTTCTATACTTTCATCACTTTTTTAACTATCTCTTAAATTTAGCACTTTTTTAGAAACCGGTAGCTCTTACAAATAGGCTCATAGTCTTGGCTCATCTAGAATATAAATTATCTAGATAACCTGTCATTCTTTAACCTACTGCATAAAAAAGCTACAAGCCAAGTTTGTTTTCCTGCTAAGAGGTAAAAATTTAAGCATAACAGTTCTATCAATCATTTCTCAAAATGCATGAATAAGAGAGACTGAAAAATTGCCTTTCCTTCATGTTCTCACATGATGACAGATTAATTTATTTTGCAGGTTCATTTTTGAAAAAAACAAATGCTAGAAAGTAGCAACTGATAATAGAATGAAGAAAATTGTTAATACTTATGAAAACAAATAACTAGATCATCCAAGAAAACTACTGTACAAAACTGAATGTACACAACCATCACTCATACTCCACATTTTCATCAAGTAGATTCAGGGCCCAAGGAAAAAATATTGCTTACTTATCTTGGCTTGAGTTGGAGGTTTGTATTGTGAGAATTACTGATTATGAGATAAATGATCTATGGAATTCAAAATAAAAAAGTACGTGAAGGGCCATAGATTACTATTAGCTTTATGCAATCCAGCATTCTGCCAAATGTTTCAACTTCTGACAATTAGTTAGAGCACAATCTTGAGATTGCAGTAGCCAACCAAAATTTTCTTATAACACTATCAATGGTTTCTTTCACCCCTTATTCCTCAAAAGGCTTCCTGAATTTAATCATAAGTAATTTCATATGTAATATTGACTGGTTTTACATAAATCATTATCCAAGATATTCATCTGCATAATGTCAACATATGGGACCAAGAGGAGTTTAAATCAAAGATGTGAAGTGGCCTTTATTCAGCAATAACTCAACTTGATTTGGGGCTTAGCCTGTTGTAAGCCAGTTTAAGAAGCTTATATTTCCATTCCAGGCTAGTTCCACTAGAGATAAGGAAAGCTCATAAGAACCAGTTAATCAAAATTTCTTTGAAACTTTGGGTCCCCTAAATGCAGACAATTTAGTAGAGAATTTGCCTACTTCTCAGTATAAGAGCCAGCCCAAATCCCCCTCCCCACCACCCCCCACCCCCCCCCAAAAAAAAAAAATGCTTGTCCTCTAAAAATTTCAATACTATTTTTCCTGGTTTTCCAAGCTGAAAACTATCCATATGCTTCCTGTAACACTGGCAAACATGTTTTGATCAATAGGTTAAATGGGCTATCTTAACTTGAAATGATCAACAGTGAATATTTGTGAAAGAATGCATGCTACTTGACTGCAATGACAGACACCGATACACAGGCAAGTGAAAAAGATGAAGTCTCATGTATTAGGCAAGTTAAAGAATTTTGCCGGAGAATTTATGTTCACTCGTAGGCCATTATTGGTCTTTTTAAATCTTCTTGGCTGAAATTGGTCTTTTATAGCTTTCTAAAATTTTGAACTTAAGAGAGATATATATATCTGCACCTTTGAAAAAGAGAAATTCTGATATCATCACAAGAAGTATTGCTGAGAAAAAGTTAAAATGTTACTGACAACTATTTCTAATTTCACTCATCTAAATCAGGAAAAGAAGTGCCAGATATTGTGAACAAAAACAAAAGAATGTAGTCAAGGAAGCTTGCTTGTATGTGAGGGTTTCTTACATATCACTAGAACTTTGTATGTATATTTTTGTGATGCATAATAAACCAAGAAAACCTTGAGGTCTGACACCTATGCTTAAGAATAACCAAAATCAGAAACATGTTATATACAAGTATTTAGTGTTGCATATTTCAAAAATTAAACAGTACTTATACAATTAAAAGAAGTTCCATACATGATCTGATAAATAACTTCTAAATCTGAAGCACAGTCCGCTTTTCTTTTTTTTTTTTTGGTTTTTTTAGGGAAAGGATAAGTATACTACTTTTCTGGCACAGTACTAATATTCTGGCACAGCTCCAATAACAAGCTTCCTTATGCCATGTTCCTTTACTAGATCCACAATTCCCTTTTGAACTTGATAGCCCTCAGTCACAATGAGGCTTGCTCTAACCTGATATGCAGTTGATCTTCATAAGTTAATACTCTCCATAAAGAGACTATCACAAATACGCTCAGCAACGGGTGACAACTAAACAGAAATACTTAGTGTGCAGTGAAGAGTGACAAAACTCATCATCCATAGATTTTTATAAAGTAAAAATGGGTTGAAAGACAGTTTTCTGTTCCCACCATGTGAGTTATTAGAATAATCAGAAAATTGAATTCAATTTGGTAAAATTTCTATGTTTACATTTCTCTCTCTCTCCACCAACCACAGAATCCCCGACCAGAGCCTTGAAGAACCAGGCAAGATCAACCCATGAAGGCTGACAAGTTCCAGTTTCTTTCACCTTTTCTTTTTTTTAAAGAACTTTATTGATCTTGATCCTTCCTACTTTGAACAAATGCTTCATTTTATTTTCCTTAAAAACCACGAAGAGAAAAGAATAAATGATGCCAAATGCAACCTAAATGAATTGGTTGAATATACCGTGACAAGTACTTCAGCAATTATCCATTTTTGACACGTATACAGGACTACTATC